AGATGGAGAAGGAGCAGGTACAGAGGCTTAGCAGTAGTGGGACAGGCCAGTCCTGGGCCCTCCAGCTGCCCAGAGTGCAGGGCCCGCGAGGCCAGATTGAAGACAGACCATAAGAAACTGTGCTCATTTCTGGAGATGAACAAAGACTCACATCTACAGAGATTTTACAGAGAAGGAAGCTGAATTAAAGGAGCTAAAAAGAAGTCATCATAATGGTCCAAAAAGTTTAGGTCCAAAGAAGAAAGTCAGTGATCAATGGTTTAGGCTTCGTTGGCTACACAGTCTCTGTCACAACTTCTCAATTTAGGCAAACAACTGAAAAGCTGCCTAGCAGTTTTGATACTGGGTACTGCTAAGTCCCAAAGGCTGAGGATTTGAAGAGAGTCACATGGGCCAATGTGGCTGTGGTGGCAGCCCAGACCCTTCCCTGGGGCCGTGGGAGGAACGTGGGGCACACAGTGCGTGGCAGGAGACAAGTTCCCTGATTCTCAATCAGGAGCGGCTCTTGTTTCCAGAATAGAAATTATTTCTAAAAGGTAGTATTTATTTTTCTGATTAAAAGGGTAAAGCCAGTTTATCGTAGAAAACGTGTGAATAATGTGTAAATATTTCAAAACCCAAATTAAACATTTCAGTCCGATCAGAAAACACACAATGGTAAGCTGGCCTGAGTGTGCATATTTTGCAAAAAAAATTCATTCCTTTGACCATTTAAAACAAGACACATGGATCAAGATGAAAATCAGCAGCTGTCTCTTTGCCCCATGAGAGGACTCAGGGCTTTGCTCAGCAGGCAGGTGAGCCAGGACCGGGGAGCCGCTGCAGCACGTGCTGGGGAACCCAGGATGCCCACGCTCATTTCTGTCTCCATGAGGGCCCGTGAGCAGCTGATACTGCCAGGGGAGGTGTCCAACGTCATCATCTCCCCCTTAACGTTCAGAATCCCTTTTTAATGGGAAGATAAATTTCAAGTCAGATAAATGACAAAAAATGTGCATCTTAACACAGGTATTTTCTTTTCCTAGAATGATAATCTATTCTAATAATTATATTGAAAGGTATAACAAAATTATTATATAATTAAATAATATATGTATGTGTGTGTGTATATATATGTATATATATTAGGCTGGTGCAAAAGTAATTGTGGTTTCGGTCATTTTTTTTAATGGCAAAAACCGCAACTACTTTTACACCAACCTTATGTATCTATCA